TTAGAAACTTAGAAGAAGCGCCTATGGAGCTGAAAATCAGATCTCCAGAGGAGGCACAGACTGGCCGGTGATGTCGTCTGGTGGGGCAGGGGACGTGACTCTGGTTTGCAAGTGTTAGAAAAACCGTACACTGGTTTCAGCAGCTGCTGCAGGAAAGAACTGCTTCTGCCGGGCTGAAGAAATGCTGCTGGGGTGATGCTCACAGGAACCACAAGCAGACAGGAAGCCTTTAAACAGGAGAAAGCCCTCTCTTCCTCCTCCAACTTTGCATTCTCCTTCCAGTACCGCTATTGGCAGAGCGTAATGCAGAGCCAGCTGGCAAAGCAGAAATGGGGTGGGCAGAGTCCCAGTGCCAGCATCGCAAAGCTGAATATAGAAAAGAGCGTTTGGAATATAGAGACAAAAAGTTAATAAATGGCATAACAAGGATGCCTCCTAGCTCTTTCAAAAGCTTATGGGAAAAATAGATTTTTATTTTCCTAAAGCAAAATATGTCATTCAAATTTGTTCAAAAAGATAATTCTAGGGAAGGAAGGATTGGTAATCAATTTCTTAAGAAGCACTGGTTCAGTATTTACAGTTTCAAGTTTTTTATTTCTGATTTTCAGGAAAATAAGTTTACTCAACAAGCCAATTTTGCCCCCAAACATAAACTCTCTCAAAAAAAAATTCTTTCATCAATAAAAAAGATCCTGAAATTTGAAATAGCATCGTTAGAATTCAATGACAACTATGTCAATGACAACTATGTCAATGACAACTATTAAAATAGAACTGTATCTCAATTAGTATTGAGTTTTCATGTGAGTAAAGGACTCTTAAAAAGTGGCTAAAGTATGAATAGATATTTATTTCTCTTATGTAAATAAAGCCCAAGAGAGGCACTCCAGAGCTTATATGGTGGCTTCAACATTATCAGGGACTCAAGTCCATCCAGGTCTCTCCTCTGCCACATCAAGTGTTACACGAATGTAATCTGGTCCACGATGGCTGCTAGAGCTCCATTCATCGCATCCATGTGCTAAGCATCAGTATGAAGGAAGAGAAGAGGAGCAGATTGTGCCTCCACTTTTCAAGAAGAGTTCTTATAAGTCCCACACAATACTTCACTAGCTGCAAAGGAGCCCACAGACTTTTAGCTGGGAAATCATGTGCCCAGCTAAAAATTGGGGCTCTGTTAATATGCAGGAGTTGGGCAGAATAACTATTGGTAAGGAACTAGTTGTCTCTGCCAGACTCTGGGAGGGATATTACTTCATCAGTCATAAGCCTTGGTATGAATGAGTCTATCAGCTCCTTTTAGAAAGTGAGATTTCATAGGTAAGGAAGACTGCAGAGTATATGAGGGCATGAGCAGGGGAGAGTAGAGGCTGCTGAGGGGGGTGGATACAGGATATTAAAGACAAATCTCTTCTATTTTACAATTTTGCTTGGAGCCAGCATCAGCCCCATCTTTCTTTTTTATTCATTTGTCGATTTAAAGAGTTTGGATTCTATACTAACAAGGAACAGATCATGTATCACATGTTTATTTAGTTTCAAAAGACTAAATTATTTTTTAAAAAATGTAATCATTTTGGTTGTGTTCTTTCCCCTCTTTTATAGAGAAACGCCTTCTAATGGCAAGATGGGTTTTAGGTTTCCACGGTTATTACACTCGTCTTTGTAAGTTTGTCTCTCCCTTCCCATGAACCCCAAAGGGCGTGGAAAAATGGCATCATATTGATAAAACATGGTGCCTTCCAAGACATTCTTTAAATATCCTGTGTGCAAATATGGTCAAAATGAATAATTCAGGCCAGTTGGAGTGAACATTTCTCTACGGATGCCTGGGGTGAAACTGGCTGGCTTTGCAAAATGGTTCTCTTTATAAACTAGCAACATTGCTTTATGACGTGTCTGGGTGACGGGCCAATTTCTTAAGTGATTTAAGTTTATGTATTTAGTATTTTCCAGCACTTTTGCTTTTAGAACCAACTTATAGGGTAGAGCAGCTGACCACGCTGTGCCTTGTCACATTGCCTTAGCAGAATCACTGGCGGAAACATCATAAATTTCTCCATTAGACACTTCAGTTCCCAAAAATTTTACTCGCTTCTAACTACCTCATCTTTCATACTTGGACATCTTTAATCACAATAAGACAAATTTCAAGAGGACATTGGAGGAAGAAAGAGATGATAGAAAAAGAAAAGATGTGAAGATTCAGTGGAAATTTTATGACGCTTTGTCACGCACGCTAGGGAGAAAATACTAGTAGAACACAAACTCTGTGTGCATAAAGATCCATCCATCTCCTAATGAAAATAGTAAAGTGGCTGCAAACTGAACACCATCCACCCTATTTGGGCAGCCTTAACTTTCACCCTGCACCCATTATAACACCCCAATTTCCCCTCACCCATCCCCACCCCTGGCTAGTAACATAGATTTTTTCTTAAGGAAGTTGGTGAATCAGGAAAAGGATCTGTATTGCACGTTGTGTAGGGAAAAACTTCATCTAGAAAACCACTTACAGCAAAATAAAATGATCCTTTTCACTTAAGAAAAAACGCTGTCTTCAGTGGCCCCAATCTCTCTCTCCTGCTTTTTCCAGCTCAGAGGTTTCTCTTCTTCTGCACCCTCGTCCCCTCCTCCCTTTTGCCTCTTCCTTCTCCTCAAGGGGAGCCTAAAGGCTGGAGCTTAGTTACCTTCCCGGGGGGCATATGAATTGTATATTAAAACAGGGATAAAAACTAAAGAGAAGAAGCTCTGCCCGTGGAATTTTAGGCAGAATGAATAATGGAAAGAGCTGCATATTGGAGCCAAAGAGAGCTGGAATTGATCCCCAGTTCTGTCATTTAGAAACTGACTGTCTTGGACAAGTTACTTGTCTTTTCTGAGTCACAGTTTCTTCATTTATAAAATTGAAATAATAATACCTGCTTCATAATCGTTTGAGAATTAAAAGAAATTATGTATATAAAAATTAGTATAGTACCTGATGCATAGTTAGCATTCAATAAATATTAGTTCTCTTACCTTGTCATAAGGGGGATGGAGGAGTTGTTGAGGCAAGTCACGGGCTTTCTCAGTATTCTAACCTGCTGGGAGTAGTGTATGTGTGTGTGTGTGTGTGTGTGTGTGTGTATGTGTTTGTGAGAGAGAGAGAGAGAGGGAGATTGAGAGCAAGTTTAGGGGAAGTAAGGTTATTTGACTGCATTGATTTTTCCAAACTGTCTTAAGAAGAAGTACTTTTGGTGTCTGCAACTTCCTGGTATCAAGGAAAATGAGAAACTAAAACAGCAGATCCTTGGTGAACAAAAAATCAGAACCAATGAAGCAGAGTGGTATGGGGGGTTATTTCACGCATGTGCTGATAAAAACCTAGTGAAATGATTTTACTGCAGTCCTTGTATTCTCTAGGTCCACTTTCTGTTTTGGACGGTGCTGACCAAGTGATACATTTTTTTTCTCTAAGTTTCATTTTCTGTGCAGGCCACTCTGTTTGGGGCCAACACATTCTTCTGTCACATGTGTTAATATCACTGTCTTAGGATCCGTCGAAATGAAGAATAACTTCCTTTTCTGTGCCAGACCTTGTTTGATAGTCTTCATGGCAAAGATTCAGACCTTCCTTGGCACCAAAATACAGGAACTGGGCACAGATCTCAGAATTCTTTTTGTCCCTTATCAAACGTAGTGCCCAAACAGTGTTTTGATATGACCAGCACGGCTGTCCTGGCTCTGCCTGAACTCAAGTGTCTGCCGCGGTCGGCAGAGTCCAGCCTCAGATCAGGTGCTGCTCCCTCTTTGACTGGGAGTGGATGCTACAGAGCCTCTAATCCAGATCCACGTCATTCTTCAGGAAATGAAGACGGTCCTAAGAATTCTGCAAATAATCCTCCTTGGGGCTAGATTGTAGACCGGGGGTGAAACTGACCCACGCATTTATTTCCCCAAGGTAAAAACTCCTTAGGCTTCTGCCTATAATGAGATCTTATCAGCCCTTTCTTCTGGTTGGTTTGAGAAAACCATTGGCCATGTTTTTATAAAAAATATTTGGAAGATAGATGATAGATAGATAATATCTATATATAGATACACATCTATATAAAACAAGAAAGTAAGCATGATAGCTATAAAAAGAGTATCAAGCAAAGTCTGAGCATCTTCATCCCAGGGAAGCTCTGCAGATATCCCACCAGGAAGGGCGTAGGCCTGAGTTTCATTCTTGGCTTGACAGTTATGGCCACAATTTATTAATACTCCATTCCTATAATAAAGAAAATTGCATACCTGGTAGCTTATGAGAATTGTATCCACCTCTGAGGGTTTTCTTGATAATCCTCATAATATTCACTATTGAATTACTTCTTCTGCAGGAGTTCTTAACCTGAGGCCCATGGACCCTCAAGAAATCTGGCTTATTACTATATCTCAAGTGAAATATATATCACAACCAAAAATATTTTATAAATTATTTCAATAAAATTAGTTTTACTTTTAATAGTAAGAATTTTATTTTTTGCCTTTAAAATCATTATTCTGAGAAGAGATCCATAGGCTTCAAAGAACTGTCGAAGGGATCCATGGTACTAAAAGTTAAGAATCCCTAAGGTAGTGGAAGAAGGTCTTTTTACATGATCTGCGGTTTTATTAATCTAATTTTCACAGTTCTTGGTTCCCTCTTCCATGATCTCACCACCATGCCTCTGTTGGTTTGTGCCATATGTCTCTATGATATGCTGTAATTGTCGATCTTTCTTTGAGCAGAACACTACTTTCAATATGGTCACGGTGCAATTCATAATGGAAATTTTCTTCATAGTTATTTTAAAATTTACTGAACAAATCCTATATGCTAGTTACTATGCTAGCTAAAGAGGATACTAGGTCAAAAAAAAAAAAATCACTGATCTTTATCAATTTACAATCTAAAAGGTATGTGTGTGTGTGTGTGTGTGTGTGTGTGTGTGTGTGTGTGTTTAATAACTTCTTGATTTATGTTTCCTCCGCAGATCTTGGAGGCATCTGAGGTTTAATGGAGACTTTCCAGCATTCCAGACTGCTGCCCTGCAATGAAGCTCTGAGTCACGATCTTTGGGTCTAAGGTACTGGCAACAATGTGGAACCCCAGGACAGCCAACCTGACTAACCTTCCCTCTAAGCAGAAGCCCAAAATGAGTCTGGCCTGAAATCACAGCAAGCACTAGAGAAGGACTTCTTTGTTAATGGAAAGAGGAAAGAAGAAAAAGATTTCCAGCAAATTGCAACAGACTTTCCACCATTCTAAAGAACCCACCTTCCTTATCAATCAAGCCGTCCTATCTAGTAACTCCCATTCTAGACTTTTGCCAGGAACAGGGCATGTCAATCCTGGTGAAAATATCAAGACAAACCCTCAGAAATATAGACCTGGAACTGTGACACTCTCAAAACGGTCCAGTAGGAGAACAATGTCGGAAAGCCAGTCCAGCCCCCCTGTGATCCCGTCCCGCAGGCCTGGATTCCGGGTATGCTATATCTGTGGCCGAGAATTTGGGTCCCAATCACTTGCCATTCATGAGCCCCAGTGCTTGGAGAAGTGGCATATTGAAAACAGCAAGTTGCCCAAGCACCTGAGGAGGCCTGAACCCTCCAAACCACAGCCTCTCCGTGGCAGCGGGTCCTACAATCTTCAAGCAGCGAATGAGGCAGCGTTTCAGAGTTCCCAGTCTCAGCTGCTGCCCTGCGAATCCTGTGGCCGCACATTCTTGCCAGATCGTCTTCTTGTTCACCAGAGAAGCTGCAAGCCAAGGGGTGAGGGGCCCAGATCACCAAACCCCAACAGATCTGATGATCTTCCTGGTTTCAAGAAAGCTTCCAGCATCCCAGCCCGACCAAGGACTCTCATCTGCTACATCTGTGGTAGGGAATTTGGCACCCTGTCCCTTCCTATTCATGAGCCCAAATGCCTGGAAAAGTGGAAAATAGAAAATGACCAGCTCCCCAGGGAGCTCCGCCGCCCATTCCCACAGAAGCCTCAGCCTCTTCCAACTGGACAGTCCGGTCAAGAGGGGCCAAGTCAAGCTCAGCTTGTGCCCTGCCCAAACTGTAGCCGGACCTTTGCCCCTGACCGCCTTCTGGTACACCAGAGAAGTTGTAAAGCTCAACCCAGTGGGTCAACAGTTCAGAATTTGACCTTAGGAAGTAAAGGTGGCCTAAAAGAGTCCGCTAATTCTAAGCAGCAAAGGCACATGGCAGCACCCGCTGTGACTGAAAAGGTAATTCACGCCACTTGAGATGCACTGGGTAGACCTGGGGGTACATTCTGCCTCCAGGGGAATGAGAGAAAACTGTCTGCAGAATCAGCTGCCTCAGCCCCTAGGATGGTTTCTTTCAATACATTATTTCTGCCTCAATGCGTCCCATCCACGTTGACCACCTGTCGGACTCCAGGGGCTATATCTCTGTTGACAAAGTAAATATAAGAACATCCTTGCCTGGTGGGTTCATAGTCCTCTTCCATTCTGCTGCCTAAAAGTAAGAGAGATAGACTTCTTTCTTCCCTGATCCCTCATACCAATAATCCTTGGGAGAGACTGTTATTTGAAAATGAGTCATTAATGCTGTGTCTACATTACAGAGATATAATTCCTATTCCAACAGCCAATATTTATTACCAGTTTATTTTAGTCATCTACCTTAGGAATTCATTTTTGGCAATGCTGGGTTATGCTGAGTTTATCTTACTAAAATAGAATCTGTGTCAAAAACCCCAAATGACTTTAGCAATAATTAAACACTGGAGCACTTACAGAAATAGACATGCTCTGCAAATACGGCATGTTTTCTTTCAACAATTACATGATTGTAGTATGTGGGGAATTAACCCCCGTGTAGACTCTGAAGCAACTAAGTGTGTGTTCATGGTTCTGAGAAGCGCTCAATTCCTGCTCCGTGTTTGGGTTAGACACCGGGCCCTGACCCCTGACTTGGGCAACTGTAGATAAGCATGACCCCAGGGGTCCCCAACCTGTATGGTGAAGTGTTGTTGGGCCTTTACCTGAAGTTTCACCATCAGCCAGGATTGGGGAAGGATGCTTATGGAGATGGCTACCTGCAAGAGAGGCATGATCTATGTTCTTGGTCCTGCCATTAAGCCAGGGGAGTGGAAGTGCTGTCTTGTACAGAATGTCAAATTGTGAGAAATAGGAAGTGCTCACAGTCTTTTCTCTATGGCTTACTACTTAAGATGCTCCACCTGCAGGGATTCTTTAAATGAACTGTTTTCGAGAAACTAAGGTTACTGAAGCTATGGTAAGAGATTAGACCAGAGGGATGGACTGTGGGAAGGCATCCTTTATTTTTAATCCAATTTTTTTCTTTTTTATTGCATTATTTTGGCAAATGTCTATTACTTTTTCCTAACTTCCATGTTTAAAATGAAATACTTATGGACTTACTGGTTTGGAAGATTCCAAGACAATGATCCTAAAGCTGAAGAATCAGACTAACAGCTGCTGGGCAAGTTTTCCAATGAACATTGAAGAAAGAACGGCTAGTTTCTTTGCCGAAGGAAAACCCAAACTCTTAAGTGTGGCATGGGCTGCAGGCTGGTCTCATAAACATGATCTGTTTTTCCCATCTTCTGGCTGTTGCTTTTCTTCCAAAACGTGTGGGGTCTGGATTCAGAGAGGAAAAGAATCCGTGTCTCAGGGCCACAAATGAGAAACTCCGTGAGTGTTCTGACTTACAGGCCTGTTTCCTGATTGTATGCATTTACTTCAAATGTTCTCATTGCAGATCTCCAGATAGGGAGGAGTGTGGTCAGGATTCTTGTGCTTGTTGTTGTAACACATACTTTGTGCTCCCCAGAGTGGAGCCAACAGGCTGAGCACAGCGTGTTCTCACTCAGTCACGACCGCTAAAAGAGGCTGGCCTGGGCCCACGGCTTCACAAGAAGACACCTCCTGATCCACCCAGTCATCTGGAGGGGAGAATGTCAGAAGGAGAGGCCAGAGATGGCCCTCAATGACTCGAGCATTTCGATCAGAGTAGGGGGAGTCCATCAGAACCAGGGCATCTAGAGGACATGGCTATGTCAGGGTACAGCCAACCCTGCTCCAGACCTGAGAAGGCATGTGTCAGTGAGAAACTGGCGCTCACTGCTGTCAGATGTGTGCTGGCCCGTTTGGGGACCACACAGGCTTCAGTGGAGGGCATAGGAGGGTCATCCAACATAGGGTGCCTTTAGCTGCCAGATTTAAAGCAAGCTTGGGTTAATTAAAGTGGAGGAAACTCCTAGGCTTCAGAGAGGCATAAGAGCTCTTGAAGCAATGGACTTTATTCCTCCTCTAGAAAAGGCATTTGCCAGTCCATAGTGCTTTCAGCAGAAACCCTTTCCTGGTAGCGTAATTTTCTCTTTAGGTAGTGATTTGATCTTGTCTGTTGCTCTTTTTTCTTTCTTTGTGTCATTTAAAATTTAGATAGTACAGTGAATCATCCATTTTCCATAAAGAGCACTGCCCTATGTATTATTAGCTCTCAGAGTTTCGTCTGCCTGTGGTGGCCGACTCTTGGCTGACTACAATGCACACTCATTCTTTTTACAATTCAGATGTTTGCTTCATGTCTTCTCTTGTCAATTAGAACAATTTCCCTCTAGAATCCTCATTCTGACTTCAGATTAGAATCAGTGATCTTGCCTAACGTTCTCAGGAGGCTCAATCTTGTCATGTATTCAGGTGAGAAAAATATTTTCAGAACCATGATCATAGTGCTTGGAAAACAATTCACTCCGGTTGGGCGACAATGACTGTTTTGCTGGCAGAGCGAATTACCCTCCTCTCGGAATGTTCCTCCAACATAGATTGGCGCAGGTCCCTTATGACACAGATGCTCCTGTTGCCCTTCAATCAAATCTAAACACAAACAGACGCCTTTAAGACAAGTTCTCCTCCAAGACCCTGTGGGGGTGGGGGGGGAGGGCAGGGGGCTGGAAGCTTTTTACTTTAGCTCTGCTTTGCCTTCTAACCACTGGATGGGCTTGAACTGTCCTGTTGTTTCTCATTCAAAATATAGAGCTGAATTCACTCTTTCTGATCTCACAGGGAAGTTGTGAAGGATGCTAAGCCGTATTTCAGAGGAATAAAACCGTTGGTGTGGATTTTTATTTAAAAGGTGTGACTGCCCTGGAGTTATTGCTCTCCCACTATATGGCGTCACGAACAGAATCGCACTCCCTTTCTTTCCTCTAAAAGAAGGGAAGCCTGAATAAGAAATATCCAGTTTAGCAAGATTTTTAAAGTGGCGTCAATTTCAGATAAAATTTTGATGCATGATATGGAAAACCATATATTATCATTTTAAATTTTAATATTGCATTTATTTTATGAGATCCTTTGAGGTCTATTTTCGTAAGCAATTTCCTAAGTGATGCTGAGAGGTACAATAATAGAGGTCATTACTGCTCCTTATTTTAATATGAGTGAATAAATTTTAATATTTGCATTTAATATTTGGAAAAATATTACCCTTTCTAGAAGGTGAGAGTATTTCATTCTTTGACTTTAGGCCCTTTCTGGCTAATTGGAACACAGATTGACAGAGTTAATTAAATATAACTACAAACCAAAATGAAGCCTTTATCTAATTACCTTTTATTAGTTAGATAATGCTTGGGGTTATTTTCTTAGGATTTTGCTTTTAACATGTGAAACACTGTTCCTAAAAATCCTTTACTATATTACAAAATAGACATTCTTTTTCTTTATGGAAACTATCTTTTCTATAAATGATTGCTTCTCTGAATGTAGTTTTAAGCTAACTCTGGTCTCCTAGATGCTAAGATTTAAGCTAAAAATCCCATCAGACGCATCTCTAGCATCTGGTGCTGCCATCTGGTGTTTTCTTTTAAAGTAATATCTTCTACACTACAAAAATGTTCTTGCCTTTCTCTTTGTGTTACCTCCAAACGTGTTTGAGAAGATGCCTTTAAAATACCAACTCTAGTTATTTAGGTCTACAATTATATATTTGGTTTAATATTATAAATGCTGTTCCATGGCTAATTATTTCATTCTCTAAAGGCGAAACTCTCAGTGGCAAGGTCACAATCAGAAAGATCCAGAAAGGCAGGAGGGATGTTCTCATATTGTAAATGTTGCATGTGTGCCTGTGTATCTATTGGGTAAGAATTATTTGGAGTTTATTAGGAGGCATGGAAGAAAGAGAACTAACTTTTATTGAGAGCCCTTATGATTTCAGCCCTTTATACACATGATCTCATTTTATTCTTCATAGTATTACTGTAAAACAGATATTATTTTCCCCACTTTCCAGGTGGGGAAACTGAAGTTAAGCAACTTGCCCAAAGTCACATAGTGGGTTTGGTAGTGAGTGTCAGAGCCAGATATACCTATTTCCAAAGACCCATCTTTTCATGTCACTAAGAGAGAGGCATATGTGTGATACAAAAAGGGTATGGCTGCCCTGCTGGGCTGTGAGTGTTAAGTAGGACAAAGACAACAGAATTTAGTTCATTCAACAAATATTTATTGTTAGGCGTTGGACTAAGTACTAAATATAGAGTCATAAAATAGATAGACACTGTTCTTGATTTCATGGGTTTTTAGTTTATAAAGGAAATTTTATGAAATATGAAATTTCAAATTGTAATATGACAGTGTCTAATGGCGGGAGTGGACATTCAGGATCTTGGTTAGCAAAAACCTCTGGGAGGAAGTAACGTTTCAGCTGAGAGATGAAAGGTGTGAAAGCATTAGCTGAGAGCAAAGATGTAGGGGAAGGAAATGGCAGGAAGAGGAGACCTTTTGGCCAAAGGTAGCGTGTGTGAAGGCTGTGAGGTAAGAAAGATCTTAAAATGGGACTAAAAAGTCCACAGAAAAGTGGCCAGAGCCTAATGAAGGAGGGGACAGGCACACAAGATGAGACTGTAGAAACAGCATAGTTCCCTTGAGCTGCCCAGTGGATGTGGGGACATCAGTTGTTTGGCTCTTGCAGAATGCAGGCTAGAGCTGATGATGGCTTGGCCTAGGGTGTTGGTAGCAGAGATGGAGATAAGGTATAATGGGCAGAAATTGGTGATAGTTGGGATGTGGAGGGGTGAAGAAGGGGGTCAGGACAACTCCCAGATTTCTAGCTTGAACAATTGTACTAGTTGTGCCATTTTCTAAGATGGGGAAGACCTGAGAAAGGGTAGGCTCTTAGGGGTCAAGATCAATAGTTCCATTTTAGACACATCAAATTCAAAATGCTTGTG